AAAAGAAATTGAACTTGATATGCTGTACCACATCTCTTTAATTCATTTCAACATTCCTAATTTGTTAGTCTCAATGAAGCGACATAGCGTCCATTAGCCAAAGTCAGAGGTAGGGAAATTCGAGACTTTAAAATAAACCTCTCTCCCATTAAGCCACTTTTTGTTTTCTTGGGGAATGCAGCTCTCTTCACTGCCAATCTGAGTACTTTCATATAAAAGGGCTGGGAGGCTCTACCTCAGGTCACTCTAGAGCCAGGGATTCAGAATCCACAACAGTGGTCTTTCCACTGCACAAGATCATGTCCTGGTCAATCACTGATGGCTGCTCCATCATAGAGGACCTTCTTCTTCTCCTCAGCCTGGCCAAAATAGTTTGATTTTTCATTTCAGACTCAAATCTAGTTTCATTTTCTCTCAGAAGCACCCTTGGGGCCTCTTTGCTTAGTGATTTTTTTGTTCTTTGAAGTTAGAACTGACACTTGAATACCTTTTCCTATCTATGTACCTCACTCCTTATGGTCTATACTGTATCTCAGCATAACTTGTCTGGTTACATACTAGACTTTTATGTTCATATTACATTTTGATGTTGAAAACAATGCGGTGGTGAATATCATGATACTTTTCTCTTGGCATATTTGTCTCAATAGACGGGTTAATTCCTACTACTAAAGCTGTTGGGTTAAAAGGCATACACATTACATGTTTTTGATAGCCATTACTGATTATATTAGAGTTACTTTCTACACACCATCACCGACACTGAGTATGGTAAATATTTACATAGAATTTATTTGGTTTACATGTGTTAGATTAAATATATAGTTAGCAAGGCACTTAATAAATGTATGTGTACCTGCTATAGACTGAATGCTTGTGTCCCCCCTAAAATTCATATGCTGAAATTTAATCCCCAGTGTGATGGTATTCAGAGGTAGGGCCATTGGGAAGTGATTAGATCATGAGTGTAGAGCCCTCACCCTTATGGGCTTAGTGCTCTTATAAAAGAGACCCCAGCAAGATCCCTTGCCCCTTCTCCCATGTGAAGACACAACAAGAAGGTGCCATCTATGAATGAAGAATCAAGCCCTCACCAGACACAGTATCTCCTGGAGTCTTGATCTTGAACTTCCCAGGCTCCAGAACTGTAAGAAATAAATTGATGTTGTTTAGGAGCCACCTAGTCTATAGTATTCTGCTACGGCAGCCCAAACTGACCAAGACTGCACCCTTTCTTTTTTTCTCTAGAGAAAGGACTTTCTAGTTGGTATGACATTTGACCAAGAGTCATCTACCTGAGTCTCAGTTTCCTTATTTGAAAAATGAGGTTAAGGATACCTCCTCATCAAGTTGTCATAAGGATTAAATAACACAGTGTAAATAAAGAACCTAGCCCAGTGTTTGACAATGCCCAATAAATGGAAGGAACCTTCTCTTTGTGTTCCCTGCAGTGCTTGGTACATATGGCATTCAATAAAAACAAAGTGAGGAAAATTAGTTTACGATTGTCCTACCTAACATCTGCTGAATATTGACCACATCTGGCCAACATTCTAAGTTTTTAAGAATTAGCTTATTTAATGCTTACCACCACACAGTGGTGGGTGCTATTAATATCCCTATTTTATAAAAACATGAAGTTACAAGCTAGTTAACAGTGGATCCAGGAATCTAGGACTTGGGATGGTAAATACTCCTCTTTGAGAAATGAGCAGCTACACAGCAGGCTGCCTGCCTCATGTCTGTCTTGGGCTGACATGCTTCCTCTAGAGGAGCCATCTTGAGAAGGCTGGTCAGCTTCCTCAGGCCGGCCTTCACCATTCCTCCCCTGGGGGTGATATTACATTTACAAGCACCACCTGTTGTGATTCAGCAAAAACACTAATTAAAGAGAACAGCCAGAGGAAAACAAGAAGCATGTTTACTTCAACAAAGATGAAAAAAACTACAATTATTTATTTGTCCAAAGATTGATTTCATATCCAGTGGGTAGAAAGCCCCTCACATAAAGCCCTACATGGATCTCTAACAGCCAACATTTTACATGAGGCCTTTATCAGTGTGCCTTGAATAAGTCATGGGCTTGTATGTTTTCAGGTGAGTATTTAAAATGTATTTTTTATTTTATTATTTTTTGAGACAGGGTCTTCCTCTGTCACCCAGGCTGGTGTGCAGTGGTACGATCTCGGCTCACGGCAACCTCCACCTTCTGGGTTCAAGTGATTCTCCTGCCTCAGCTTTCCAAGTAGCTGGGACTACAGGTGTCCACCACCACACCTGGCTAA